GCTGCAGGATAGGCTCTGGCTAGTGACGTGCTCAGTCTTCTGTTGACTATTGCTGCAATATTTTCACCTTTAAAATCAAGTTGAATGAAGAAGGGCTTTTTTCCTACTGTGATTTGTTTGACATTTGAGCCTTCAGATCTTCCGTACTTGTTAATGAATCTCTGAAGGTAACCATTGTTTTGCAACATCTTTTCGAGAAACATAAATTCTTCCTCTAATTTCTCTGGAGAGCATACTATCCTCGCTCTATATTACGGAGTCTTACAAGTGCTCGTTTGAAGTTATTTGAACAAAAACTGTTAAAATCTAGGTATTGTTCATTCCATGTAGGCTTTTGGTAAATTGACCTCTGGAAACTGTCATCTTCCAGGCGTTGCATGGCAATGTCAAGGAAATGGAACTTTCCATCATTTTCATGTTTCATAGTAAATTCAATATTTGTATGTGCGTCGTTGAATAATCCGAGTAGGTAGGAAGCATGACATTCATTGTTGCACGCTACAAATGTGTCTTCGACATTTCGACAGTCCATGTAACATTAAAAACGGGTTGAAATACTTAATTGAAATTAATTACAATTATTTATTCCTTTTATTTAATATAGTCAGTGATATTTTGTAAAGATATTACCTCCATTTTCGGACAGATACTAATTGCCATGCGTTGTTATAAAAATTCCCGGTAATGCTGTATGAATACACACACATCTTGTGTGGTCTTTTCCCTTACAACGTAGGTGAAACAAAATGTTTTATAGTTGAACAAATCTAAGTAGTCAGTAAAGTTGGTGAGGTGAAGATCTTGCCTTTAATCATAATATCAGTAATGGTAATGACTTTTAAAACAAGAGAGTTTCAAATGTGCCTTCATATTGCAGTTAGATATCTTTTTACCTCCAAACTATAACCTTCATGTGGTAAATTATGTGATATGCAGACGATAAGGTATTTATTATCTAACTACATAAATTACTTATGATTATATTTCAGATAATCAATAAGATCTGGATTTTCAACTCCAATGTGAAGTCAGTGCTCACTATACGGATCAGAGACTTGCACTGCATGTCATGAAGAGCATCTCAAACAAACTACAGACCTTCATTAACAGATAACTGTCTTCGACCAATACTCAAGATCAGATAGCCGGCCAGAAAAGATCAGCAGGAACCGATTGTGAAACAAATATGCAGGAAGAAATGGAGATGGATTGACTAGCCATACTCTGAGGAAACAATCCATCAAGTGACATCACTAGACAAGCCATTGCTCGAGTGGAACCCGAAAGGGAAGCGGCGAGTTGGTCGTCAGTGCAAGGGTGACTTGGAGGAGGTCATGTGAAGAGGAGATGAAAACGTGTGGGCAGACTTGGAGCCAGGTGAAGACTCTAGCAGAGAACCGAACGCAATGGAGATGCACGGCTGAAGCCCTATGTTCCTCTAGGAATTAAAGGAAACAATAATAATAATATAATAATCAATGTGATCAAACTTTCTATAAACAGATTTGTTTAGCTATAAGTAGGATAAATTTGTAGACCAAAAAGCGCTGGAATAAATTAAATGGTAATAAATGAGAAGTAGTTGAGTTTAGTCTCCTAATTAGAAACATGGTTTCGAAACTGGGATTCTAAAGGGTACCATTGAACGCTTGATACTGTTTATTAATATTGGTAAAAATAGGAAAGTAAACTTTGCTCAATGTTGTTCTTTGCTTTTACGATAAAAAAGCTATTTCGGAAAACAATCTCAGTGAGAAGCTTTTCGGTTAACAATATGGTGCAATATGGAATATGTATCACTTCCTGTAAATCATGCTGCATAGGAAGAAAAGTAGGTAATTTCAGTAGGAGCCACCCACTGTTATATTACTTGTTGTGCATTGAAATAGTTAGCAAATTACAAATAAAGTTTGTCTGGATGTGAAAGATTCGTTAAGTTCTCGTAAACCACCGTACCGTAAAACAACTGATAAATATTTTATCTGAAAATTAATTAATGACCAAGATCCATTTGAGTGTAATAAACCTGGAATTAATATGTATTCAGAACAGGTACCTGCACATTTTGTTCACTGCATATATCCTTTATACCAGTCAGAAGACATTATCGTTCAAACTAGGTGTAATTCCATTACCTAACTGTTATGCATTATATACTATTCTCTTCAAGAGTTGATTTGTTTTTCGAGTTAGACCACGGATTGATGATATCAGTTAGAGAACCATTGAAAACCAGCACTGATTCATCCTAGTTTGGTACTCATCGACAGTACACACCCACTGGATTTCGAATCCAGGACCTTCCGGTTACAAGGCAAGCTCGTATACCATTCAACCACTGGGACCCGATTCAATATGGAACTTTAAATTTTCATACATGCAAGTATTATTTTACAGAGATATTTTTGCGCAACACATTTCGAAAAATCTGATCACACACGGACTTGTCATAGGAATATACATGAAATTAATAAAGAGGTAAGAGGTCAGGAAATAGACTTAGGTAAAGTTAAAAGGACATAGTCAAGGTCAAAATAACAATGAAGACCACTAAACCAAATAGCAGAGGTAATAGTACATCTGCTATGGTATCAAAACAAAATTTACCAAGGAAGGTTTAATGTGATAACGAATTGTTTTTGAACGCATAAAGGTGGCTTAAACTTTCTAATTGCTAGGGCTTCCACAAACTTTAGGATACGCCCCAAACACGTTTTATAGATATGTTTAAAAGATCTGTTAACGTCAATTTTATGTCCTGTCTCTATAATATGTTTCGCAATAGAAGAGCTAGGTCTCCTGTTCTCACCGTTGATATGTTCTGAAGATTCCATTTGTTTCTGGAGCCATTTAGGAATATGCTCTGAAGCCCTTACTTGCAGAGATCGATGAGTCCTCCCTATGTATGTGTGTCCACATGTACATTCAAATTGGTAAATAGAGTGGGATGTGACGTCATTTTTCGCATGTTCGAAGGGCTTAGATAGATATATTGGCTTTACATTCTCTATTATTATGATATTGGCTGCATAAAAAGTCTTTTTGACAGCAGCGTTCAGTCTTTGTCTAGTTATCAAGCTGCTTTGATGCCCCATATAGGGTAGCTTGATGTACACGTCTTTCTTAGGGGAAAGATAGAGAGTGGGCCTTGATGTTCCACTGACTACTTTATATCTCCTGATGAACTTGTCTGGATAATTGTTATCAACCAGAGTTTGAGTCAACTTTCTTTCTTCTTCATCAAGTGTGTCTTCAGTACATATTCGTTGGATTCTACTGAAGAGGTACCTTGCTAAGGCTCTTTTGTACTGAACAGGGCAGAAACTGTGGTAATTAAGATACTATCCTGTCCTGACTAATACGCGTAAAGTGCATAAAAAACCAATGAAAGTTACTGAATTCTAGAAATACAAGATGAAAACTGTCTTGTCCTCTATTACTCAGGAATAGCTATCTACTTTTATTAAGGTCAACTGAGAGTTACGGTATGTCACAGTCATTAAACACACGTTTAACCCCCCAATCCAGTCAATTACAGTTATTCAAAAAATCGAGCAGTAGACAGATACCTCATCAAAATAAAATACCTAGAATTTTAACGCAAAACGAGTTATTTATGTAGTAAAGTCATTCTTCAGTTACGTCGAGAATTGTATAACCTCATCCGATTATTGCAAAATTCCTGGAATTAACATTAGGTTGAAGTGCTTTACAGTAATCCTAGAATGAACAATCAAATTACTGAACGATGTCACTCTTAATACCACTAAAGAAAGACATGTTATTGCACAGTTAATATTAGTGAATTAGAATACCTGTGCAAAATATGTATAAAGTCGTGAAGTCATTCTTCAAATAGTCAACTGCATAAACTTTGGGATGCAAAATGTAGCTTTATTTAGTCCTTTGATTTTTTAACGCATCATGACAATTTAGCTTTCATTAAAAACTCCAGAATAATTGCACAAATGGAAGCAAAGCTTAAAAAGCTTTTTAGTTGGCATACTGGTAAAACACTCAGTGAATGTGTAGATTTATCAGTAGTATTTAATAGCCTTCGATTGGACACTATTTAGGCACTAGTGTAATGTGTCTAGTCCTTTGTTTACTGCAGACTGAATTCTATCAGTCAAGTTTACAATGTGGCCACCATTCTAGATGATGGCTCGCCATCACGGTGCACTTTGAATTGTTGATATTAGATGGTTGGAGACAATCAGCAGGAAGCCTTGGACTTGGGTTTCGTGCTAGTTGGCACTCGTAAGAAGGCTCGAGCTCTAACAGCTCAGTTGTAACGTCTCTGACTGCAGCACTGGGTGACGCGGGTTCGAATCTCATAAGGGACATGAGTTCCTTCAAGGTTACAGATATGCCTTGCTGACTGGTGAGTGCCAACTAGTACGAAACCTAGGTTGAAGTCTTCCTACCGATTGCCTCCAACCATCTAATATCAGTTAATGGTCTTATTGATCAGTTACAGTCTGCAGAGAATGATGTGGTTATTTGTCGTCAATCCATTTATGGTAACCACTCTCAGACAGACCACAGCAATTCTTCAATATTAAAAGGCAGAAAAGTAACCAGATTACTGGATTTTATTACGCCTGCATTTGGTTATGGGTAAGAGGCAAGGTAAAATAGTCCGTAAAAATAAACAATGACCTGTTGTATAATGTACAAGTTTAAAAAGGAAAAATATTGGAATCAGAACTTCAACTATGCATTTGATTTCAACGAAAAATTGACCTATGGTAAAACAAATCTTAAGGAGTAACTAATTGGATTCACAGTATAGTTGGGCTCATTGAGGCTGTACTGATGAGAAGTAATTCAAAAAAAACTAATGCTTGTTGAGCGCAGATACTTTGCTTGAACTTACTTTGAAGTCAATATATGGACGACACCTATTCTGAATCTTAAGGTTTGGTAATATTAGTATGAATTAACCACAATATTAACATTACAATCAAGACAGTATATGTGATATGTGCGTGACGTACCTGAATTTTTATCTTTACTTTTAAACCATGTGACTCTTCGACGCACCAAACAAACGAGAACCAATGTTGCTATAAGAACCAGTGAAAATATAAGCGAAAGACAGATAATCATAATATCGTTGGCTGTATAACCAATAGTCTTATAATTTTGTTTATTGCTCAAGAGATTTCCGTATGGTAAAGCTGTCGGGTTTTGATAGACACTGTCGTCATTCAGTCCTTGAATAGAATTTAAATTATTCTGATTATTGTCATAATTGGTTTGCATTATCGAGAGAGATGATTTTTCTGATATTGCTGATGATGATGATGATCCCAATGTCTCTGGAATGTTTATAACTTGACCAAATAAACTGTATTGTGACTGTGTATTTTCCATATTGTTGATGTTATTCTCTCTGTTATTCTGTATAATAATTTTTAAATTGTTGTATAATGTACATCTTGGTTTAGGCTCTTTTCCATGGTCACATGCCTCCAATGTAAGTATGTGCATACTTGATTTTTGCAGTATATGCATTAGATCATATCCGTCATTTGACAGTGAAGCATCTGATGATGAGTTATGCAACTTGTTATCTTTGTTATTATCTTTATGATCGATAGGATTTGATAAATACAACAACCCACTAGTTGAATCCAATCCGAATAAGCCATAGTTATTTCCAGCTAAAATACTATACCTGATCAAACCATTTTCACCATCATCTTTATCATAAGCTTGAATATAAGCTAGTTTATAACCTGTAACTTTCTGATCTATGGCTATAGCCAGTGTATTTGCTGTTGAATTTGGACTTATGAATACTGGCCAGTTATCATTTACATCATCAACAATCACTGTAACTGTTGATGTTCCAGTGTACTGGATATTCATTGATTGAGGTGAATTAATACTGTTACTATGGCTACCACTAAGACCACTATTACTCACTTCTGTTAGTCTCATTCGCGTATCTTTAACTAAAACACGAAATGCATAATGAGATTTCTCCTCACGGTCTAAAGACTGACGACTTCGAATGATTCCAGTTATTTTATCAATGGTGAAATTAACAGATTCTTGGTCATCAGTAAAGCTGTACTCCAATGGTGCAAATAAAGAAGAGTCTAAATCGGTTGCAGAAACTTGTCCAACAATTGTACTACGTGGCTGATTCTCTTGAATATGAAAAGTGTAGTCATTTTGAGAAAAAATCGGTCCATTATCATTCAAATCATTGATGGTTATCTGAAATGAAATTAGCAGACATCAAGGTTTTATTGTGAAATTGTACAGAAATCAGAAAAGGTTAGAATTTAAACATGAATTTATTCATTTTGGTGACAAGCCGCGACCAACAGGGTACAGCAGGTTGAAGGTGAGGCAGTAACTCATCGAAGAAGACATTGCAAAGTGGTCGTGCTATGTCATGAATTGGCAGAAGTTAGAATTCATGGGCTGGACATTGGATCGGGTCCAAGTGGCTTAATGGTCTACGAGCTAGCTTACCTTGTAACCAGAAGGTCCTGGGTTCGAACCCTGGCGGTGGGTGCGTACTGTGAAGATTTCGAAACCAGGAAGAAACAGCTGTCTAGTACTCCAGGTTTTCCAATGGTTCTCTAATTGATGTCAGCTCATGATGAAATCCTCCAACCAATCAAAAAATATAAATTTACACTTCAAATAGAACAACATCTCTAAGAATATTTTCAATCCTACATACAGTTTAATATAAATGACAATTAAGTAAGTGTTGGAGGTAACCACTATGTGAAACATGTTACATCCAAAAGTGAAATTTTAAAACACTGAAGTAGGCAGACTGATCGATGGATATTTCTCTTCACTAGCATTATTTCTGGCTTAGCGAAGTAAGAAGTGCGTCGGCCGGGCACCCGGACATGTGCAGTGATCGCATTAGAAGATATCTTAAATTTATAATAGTACTCAAAGAAAATGTCTTTATATGAAGCAGATTCATATACTTTCAACTTTAAAGTATGGTTTTGCCACATTACTTTTGACTCAAACGTTTAGCCATCCGAATTTAAGAAATTAATGACTCTGCTATTGGTACATGGGAGTTTAACTGGTTTCGAAACTCTTTTTAGTTCTCTGATTAGCATCGATTTTGACTACATAGGTATTTTCAAAAGTTGGTTTGCAAAGATTTGATTGATTTCAATTGTGATCACAAGTTGGCTTTAATTAGAGAACCAGTGAAAACCAGGGAGTACTTTTTCGGCTGCTTCGTCCTCATTTGGGACTCTTCATCAGTGCGCACCCATGATTCCACTGGGAATAAAACCCACGATCCCCAAGTTATAAAGCGAACTCATGTACTATTCATCCACTGGTATGGAATCAAATGACCCATCAGTTCTAACTTCTAACTTGTGTCAGTTCCATATAAGCCGAAGATGTAAATATCCATCCACTCCGCTTTACTAAGCAGCTTCATGAAGAATTTCATCGAGTTCTTTATGAAAAATCGTCTCTGGTGATACTTTACCTATACACTCATCTTCAAGATATACAGTGCTTAAATCATTTTGTAATCCGCTTATCCAGGATCTTTAGAACGTTGTCATTGGGGCTTTCATGTATACATTTCTTTTATTTAGATACTAAGATTTCAACTGAAATTTCTTCTCTTTTCATTTCACTTTTTGTCTGAACAACTGTTCAAGGTAAAATGATTGTTTGCATTGTTTTGTTGTTTGACAATTAATATTTTACTATTTTTGTGTGTACTGTAACTAATTATCGATTTATCGTGTTAGAACCACTTAAATAATGTTAAAGTCCATGACCTGTGTAGTGCAGACGTAGCATGGTGACAATAAACACATCATAAACAATGACGATAAAGTTTGTAATGACTGATTCCGAGATTTTAATGCCATGTTTACGTATTTTGTTTCATTTTGTTGTATATCCTTCGTGTACAGTATGGCTTGAAACATTAACCCTTTTGTCTGATTTTGAAATATTTTATTCGATTTTACTGTTGTTTTTACAAAAGCCTGCTAACAGTTTAATTTGTTAGATTACTCCAGCATAAAACAATGAATTTAGTAACATTCTTTTTAAACATGGCTTGACTATTCACTCACGAACAATTAGCAAACATAAAGCTGTCTTTTGATCATGCAAATGCTCTATATTGATCTCAAACTTTAGTCTGATTTTAAAAGTTAAAAGTCAGTTTAGTAGAAAGTTATTGATGTGATTTAATTTTCATATTCGTTAACAGCACCATTCACAAATTGAATTTTAGATTTTCCCGTCGACTGACTGGACCGAAGTGCTCGGTCTCACGTTGACAATAATCAGTATGACCGTTGCACAAGAGGTAGCTCTCGTGGCCCAAGTGGATAACGCCTTGGTGTTTGAAACTATGGACACTGGGTTCGAGCCTCGGTGGGAACATCATCAATCACTGAGAAATGCAGGTACATCCAGATGACGAGTCCCAAATAGGACGAAATGTGCATCCTGGATTCCACTGCTAGTCACCATCCACCAATTAATACCATTCACAGCCTATTGGTATTCGTGTTTCCTTTCTAAATTAAAATATGCACAACACTAGAATTCGACTGTTAAAAAAAGCAGACAGCCATTACTGTTTACACCTGAGAATATCATTTCTTTGAAATAGTTGTGTTCTCTCAACTGGCTGATTTAATTGTGAGGCCTTCGTCTTCCCCATTATAGACAACATCTTCATCTCATGTTTAAGCATAAAATGAACTGATTTAAATTCTCTATGAATGATGTAATTGTGTTTCCTGGCGACCACTGCGGTGACTGGCTGTTAATTTATGTCTCTCTTGATCAGTTTTGTTGGAATTCGAACTTTCTCGTCAAGTGATTTACTTTTTATTAGCTGGTGAACTTGGTCTATAATCATGTGTTTGTTAGTTGCTAATTCACTTGAGTACCAGGCTTCTAGGAATTCCCTGATTGCATTTTTGGTGTTTCCTCTATTTAAAATTTCTACATTATTCCAATCAAACTGGTGTCCATAATTATCCACATGCATTGATACGAAAGAATATGTATCATCTCTTTTTACAGCTAATTTGTGTTCTTGGATTCGGATTCAAAGGGGATGCCCACTTTGACCGATGTAGCGTTTATTGTAGTTCATGCAGTTTACTGCGTAAATCGTATTAATTTGATCTACTTTTTCTGTTGGATCTTTCGGTTTGCACGATATCGAATGAGGTGATTGTTCTGGTTTGTGTGTATATCTATTTCAAACGGTTTTAATATTCTAGCTGTTATTTCGGAGATCAATAGAGAAGTAAATTAACAACCAGTCACCACAGTGGTCGCCAGGAGATCATGGAGAATTTAAATCAGTTCATTTTATACTAAAACATGAGATGAAGATTTTGTCTAGAAGAAAGACGAAAGCTTCGCAGTTAAATCAGCCAGCTCAGGGAACACAACTAATTCACTGTCATCCACCTGAGCTACAAATCTTCTCCATTATTTCAATATCATTACTTTAATATGTGGTAGACACACTTGCCTCATAACCTGAAGGACCTGGTTTTCATCCCAAGTAGGCTCATTAGTACGCACTGATGACAAGTCCCAAATGAAGCTGAAATACTTATCAGTGACCCATGATATTCAGTGATTTTTGAAACGATAAAATCTGTATCAAAAAAGAGTACTGACATGTAAGCTTTTAAAAGGCTATCAACTGGATTACAGTATTTCATTACCGCATAATCTACAAACCAGACGTACCTGTAGTGTAGCTGTCCCCGTAAGTTGAGGAGTTCCATGATCAACTGCAACCACATTAAGAGTATATGTGTCTTTCACCTCTCTATCAAATACATCCATTGTAGTAATGATACCTGTGAGTGAATCAATTTTGAACCGAGTTGAATTAACTCCATCTTCAAGAAGAAAATATTTCATTTCAGAATTTATCCCACTGTCTAAATCAGTTGCCTGTAGCCACTGGGATAATCCATTCTGATAAATATTATTGAAATGACCTCTAGTATTCTTTTGAATCTTTTGTCTAACCAAAGTACCGACAGGAGCATTTTCATCTACTTGTAAGTGAAATGTATCATGAGAAAATTTTGGTGGATTATCATTTTCATCCATAATACGAATAGTAATATTTCTTTCTGTATAATGTCCAACCATATCAGAGCATATAACTGTAACAATTTGATGAGTTGTACTTTCACGATCTAACATCTTCGATGTGACTAAGTGATATTCTGTTATTGAATTGACTCCATTGCTTTGATCATAATCAGGTTTATTTTGTGCTGCATGACGAGTAAGAGAAAAGTTGGCATCTTTCAAATTACATTCTACCTGATCTTGTCCACCGAAATCTGGGTCGTATACCTGGAAATAAAACAGCAGGAAAAGTTACTGTGGATTTCGACATATGGAAAAGCATAACGTGCAGACGGTTATGTACATATTTGCACATATTATTGTTCATTAAAACTTTTTCAGACATGAGTTTCAGATGGATTTTGAAAGTGGTAACAATGAAAAATTTATGACTGTGTAGTGACCCGTTTTATTACTCATCATCGCAGTATACTTTCATTGTGTAATTGTACTTTGATTTGTTTATTACTCTAAATCTTGCATGTTAACAATTGATACTTTTTGTACTCGCTCGATTTTCGAATTTTGATTGCTGCAATAATACACTATCGTATTCTTTCGCAAGTGCCTTTTGAATTACGTTGCGGATGTCGAGTAATCGCAATGTTAGGTCACAATTATAAACGCGAAGAAATACTAGAAGATACGTGTACTCTAGTTCAGTCAAAATATAGCAGCAACAACTGCACCCTTGTTTCATTTTTTCTTTGAATTAGTAGCTAAATGAGACATACTGAGATTTATAAGTCTAAATATTCTGGTGATTGCTGCCAGCTTTTTAAAGACGAGAAGAAGCTTCAAACTTTTAAGTAAATGTAGAGTAATATACGCTGGTAAGTCCTTCAAGACCGACAACTGAACATGATTGCACCTTTAAATGATCATTACTTTAATGGACTTATATATAACTTTCTATATTCCCTCAAAGATGGCTTCAGGCTTGGAATTTATTTTGTTCTCTTGTGGATGTTATGCCTTCAATAAATTAGTCAGAGTTTCCAGCCACCAAAATTTTACCAGTTGCTAAATTGAAGTTATAACCACCAGTAATCTATGCGCATTCATTATAGCTAGTGTAACTACGACATAAGTTGAAGAGCCTTTCGTTATTTCATATTCTTAATGCTGTGACTTCAGAATGTTAGGGTGTATCTGAACTCATTTGTTAGTATGAGCCACTGTGTTTGTTACTCATTCATTATTCAAATTATAGCTGAGAATGCCACACGGTTTGTATTTCTGATTGATGTGAATTGTTAGAAACCTTCTTTGGGAACCAGATCCACGTCGCAGTGTATCTGCGGCAAGATGACCAACGAAATACTTGCAGTGACTCATCTAAAACCACAGAATAAGTTCAGATCACTCAAAATATTTCCGAAATTATGTCAGTTGTGGTAGGCATCGTGTTCCATTTTGTGATTTTTCCTTAGTTTCACTAACACTGCCAACCGAATCACTTGTTATGGTCATATAATTTTGGACTTTAAAAGAAGATCGTGGTGAATCTCACTAGGAAATGTGTAGTTCATAAATGACTAGTTTCATTTCGGCTGAGAGATCACAAGCAGAATATTGCTAAGAATTAGTCATTTACTACTTATCTACTACTTTTATCTAACCTTGAAATTGTTCCACACAATGTGTCTTTCTCATCTTCATCATTCCCAATAAACGCCTTCAATGTGAAGCGGTCAAACCTCAACTTTAAACATCTGAGAGGCGCGAAAAGCAGCAACGACCTTTGAAATAGCAGCTGCGTTGACAGATAAATTTGGTCCCCTAACCCTAATTTTTACAATAGCAATAATGACAATGATACATCTATTCTGAGAAGTGCATTTAGACAATACAGAATATTCAGCGAGCTTATTAGATAGGTATTTACTTCATGTGCAGAATCTTAAAATAATATAATAACCGATAATATGTCATCCGAAGCATGTTCCAGTATTACTCCACAATGCTGTTCCTCTAAATCCTTCAAAAAATTCCTAGCGATAGGTAGAAAATTATTTGAAATTATGCTCAAGTATACATTGCGACTCATTGTGGTAATTAGATGCTTCAAACAATATGAAACAGAGTAAATGCAATGCATTTTGATGAATAGAAAATTTAGGTAGCCCGCCTGACCCTAATTTGCGCATAACCAAGCCTGATATCTCCCTAATTAGATTAATCCAACGCTAACCTGCCTTTAGCTCAAACCTAAACTTAATCTTTCCCGAACCCAATCTAAAACTAACTGGATATTTTGTTTGGTATTATTACACTTCATTCAACACTTTTTTCATGAATATAGTGTTATTTACCCGGTTTCACTGCCTTTCTCTGACTTCACTTTTCAAGATAAATGGTGAGTTCGCTTCTCTTAGATGTCGTAAGTTTAATCATATTAGTTTGTTTATTAGATGTATCACACAGTGAAACAGTATTATTTACTGGATGATGTTTCGAACAAAATTTATTGTTCGTAATCATATCAATTGTAATCACACGACTTTGACACTTGAGTTTTATAGTTTTCTTTGTCTTCTCCTATTTGTCGTCGTTGGGGTAGTAGAATTTTCCAGATATCTGGGACAGGTGATAAACCATTCCTATTACATGTATTTGCAGTTGATTCGATAAACAAAGCTTCTGTTATCAATCTCTCCCTATACCCTGTGACATTAGATTTTAAAACTGTCATCCTATCCCATCATATTGTATGGTTGTGTGTAACTGCATGTAATGCTATAGCTGAACTATTCTCTATATTTCTTATCTTATTTGGATCAACCAATCTAGATTTGCTAGGTTTTTATGTTCGCTAGTCTACTGCCCCTGTTCTATACTTGACCTTATTTGATGACATCATTTTTAATTGAGTTGTGGGTTTGAATGCCACTTTTATTCCTCCTTGTTAAGAATTCTGCGTAAGGCTTCTGAGGTTCCTTCCTTGTATGGAATTACTACTGATGACTTAGATTCCTTATTGTTGGTGTCGTCATTAATATTATTATTATTATCACTATTATTATTATCATTATTATTGTTATTATCATTTTTTTTATTATTATACTGTCGTAAGTTTAACTTCGCCGTGAAGCAGTTTTCAAGACACTTCATAAAGTATTGATTTTCTAGTCAGCTATTTTACACGTACCTTTAACCATGAGTGATTTAGAAAGGTTTCTTTTTAATTGGGCAAACATCAAAGAAGTACAAATGAAGGAAAGGTTAATTTCACAGCACAGTATTTTTTAGAAATGTATAAAGGTAGTGATATTTAATTTTGATTTGTGAGAAATCAATGAAGAAAACTACCATTCGGAGAGTGTGTGTGTGTATAACAGCTTTTCATAATTATTCCCATAGATTTTAGATAAGTCTAGATGCCAGTAGATTACAAAATAGTTTCTGTGCAATGCTGATCATAAAAGCGAAGTAATCTTCAAAATCTAATCAGACGACTGACACTGTACAGAAAATAGATAACCGTATTCACACATGTGACTTTATTTCTATGAATGAGTGTTACGAATAATGCAGTATAGTTCTAATCACAATAATACACTTACCTGTATACTTGCAACAACAGTACCAATTGGCTGGTTTTCGAATACGCTAAAGTAACTGAAAGGGTTTGGTAGCGAAACACTATCTAATGTATTTGTATTGATCGCTTCCGGATTATGACGTACTGTGATGATGGGAGACTCATCATTTTCATCTGTTACAAGTATGATGACAGTTGCTTCACTTGAACGTGTATATGGTCTTGTTGCTTCGTCTTCAACAATAGCACGAAAACGAAACTGTAAGTTAACACCTTTACTGTTATGCATACTGATGTCATCATTTAATTGTTGACGTATTCGCAAATTTGATAATATCGGATTGTTATTGTTATTTTTATTATGGTTAATATTTAGATCAAGTTTATCTACATTCAGTGGTTGCCTAACTATTATCTGACCATTTGGACGTATATCAAAGTAATGCCTAGCAATTTTCTCATTCGGTTGCCAGTAATGATCTTTACTGAAACCAAAGTGATAAATTCCATTTATACCGGAGTCCAAATCAGTCGCATTCAGTATGAGAATAGTTGTCCCAACCGGTGTTGTCTCAGGTATTGGCATTGCTGTTGTAAAAATGGGTTGAGTAAATTGTGGTGTATTGTCGTTGACATCTTCAATTAAGACATCTAAATACAATGTTGAGGTGAATCGTTTTAAATTAGATTCATTTGACAGTATTGATGAAGTTGAAGTAGATGGTGTATACGATCCATCTATCGCCTTCAATATTAACTTGTATTCTGATTGTTCTTCACGATCTATAGGCTTCGTTGCATATAAATGTAAGCCATCAGTTGAATCTTCAAGCAAACTGAATGGTATGGGTGATTTATCGAATAGGTTAGCTGAACTTAGCTCATATGTTATATGACCATTTGAACCTGCATCAATATCTATAGCTGGTGGTATATTACGACGTGAACCAACTGGATCACCATCTAAGAATGTGATACGGAATCTTTGTAGATGACCTTGCCAATATGGTGCATTATCATTAATATCTTGAATATTAATCCGTATATAAAATAATCGATTTTGTTTTTTCTCTTTTATATCTGTTTCTATTTTATTGGTCATAGAATTTTTATGATGGATAAATAAACCAATTTGTAGGATTACAGGACAAGAAGTACTTTCTGTTTGCATGTTCGCTTGCTGACGTATATTTGAATACATATTTGACACTGGTTGTGACTGTTCACCTGTTATAACAGACGAGTCTAACTGTGGCTGACCAGAACATATTTGATCACGATCTAGCCGTCTGTTCACAGTTAAGCGTCCGTCAGTTTTAATCTATACAACAAGAGGAAAACAATAAAAGCGGCGAATTTAACAATTCTTCACAGATATTTGAAGTGACTGCATAGAACTCATCTCATTACTTCTTCATCTTCCTATCATGAACTTGGTGAAATACTTTTTGTATGGACTGGAAACTATTGTGTATTTTAAAGTGGTCATGGAAAGTAATAGTTAATTCAAAGATCCTTAAATGGCTTCAGATAGAAATTTAATGTATGAAAATGAAAACTGCATAGATTACTTACAGTAACACAGCGACATTATATTAAGTGGAGATATATGAAATACTTTAAAACACTATGAAAACATTTTTGTTGTTGGAGTTTTTACTTCTTTCCTGCAACTCCTATACTGTTTTTCATTGATAAATTATAACGCCACACAAGAAGCTTCCATTACAAAGTAGTTAAAATTAAGTTTGATTTAACTATGTGAAAAAATTTTGTTCCAGTTTAAAAGTAATCTGAAACCAATAGTTAACTAAATACGCATATTAATTAAGGAGTAACTATGGAATACTGTTATTTTGGCTAGTTTTGATAGTTTCAGTGTGGACTGTATAGTGAACCAATATCAGTTGGAGATACATTGGAAACCAAGGAGCAATTGGAAGTTGTTTCGTCCTAGTTGGGACTTTTCCTCAGTGCGCGCCCATGATTTAATAATCTTTAGTTTATTAGGTCGACCCGCTTATCATTCAACCGCTGAGTTGGACTGGAATCGCCAGTGAATTCTGGCCTCTATCAATTCGTAATACAGCACTACTGACAACTAATTCCACCGATGAGGATCTACTTCACCTTAACATAATGGATTCCACTGGCCACGAATTCTCATTAGAACTTCAGAACAACTATCCAGTGTCGATTATTGAGCTGGAGATTAATATTCAGACTGTAGGTTTCATAGGAGACCGATCCTTGATGTGATCATAGGGGTGTATTGCTCAATAGTTCCGAATCAAGATTAACCAACAGTACAGTGCTCCCTGGTTCCCAATGTCTGACTGTCTGATTGATTTTGATTCGCTAAGAAGCCTGAGTTAAAATCAATCCAAACCTGATTAGTTCTGATGGTATTCCATATTCTCTAAGTGTCCTAAAAAAGTACTGCGTTTCAAATAAAAACAGTCTGACAGAGTATCGTCAGCTTCTCAGATAAATGTTAAACTGTTTCATTGGTAGATATTCTTTTGATACAATTAACACTTTTTAAAAGCTGGTATCTTGTCTGAATTACAGTAAAACAACATTATTCGTGACAAAAATTATAAGATTTCTAATACCAGGTATCACCATTTAAAGGCAGAGTTCAACTCCATAGAATTGTTAGACAATCTAATTATTTTATGTCTATAAATTTTACGCAATTAAATATTGTTTGCTCCGTTAAATTAACATCTACCTTTTTTAATCTAACTAACTGGTAGTATTATTTATTTCACATTTTCAAGAGTTGGTTTGTAAGGATTAAATTTGTTTTTACGAGTTGATCACGTATTGATATCAGTTAGAGAACCATTGAAAACCATGGAGTAATGGACACCTGTTTCCTCCGTCCTAGTTTGGGACTCATCGGTAGTAAGCACCCACCACCACGGTTGGAACCCACGACCTTCTGGTTACAAGGTGAACTCGTAGACCATTGAGCCACTGGGACCCGATTCAATGGCCAGCCAGCCCATGAATTCTAACTTCTACCAATTCGTGATTTAGCGCGACTGGCACCAACCAATGTCATCGGCGGGATATCCATCCCCACACACTTGACTGGATGGACCTCACTGGTCAGGACTTCTGACTAGAACTCCAGGAAACTCCGTCCTGTAGCAAGTCACTAGCGAGCATCACATTCTCGAATATTCCAAGTGGAAGTATCGTAGATAACTACATACATTTTTCTTCATGTCAGGTATTATATGAAAGGCTAATAACCTCACACCCGCACATCATCTCAATATTCAGTGAATATGTACTATAAGTTGTTATCTCAATAACCTCTTATTCCCCATCTAGTCATGATATATTTCTTAACAAGAAAGATGTGAGCGAAAACATCGAAGTTAACAATTTGCCAAACCATTTTTTAATTCAGTCATTCAGTTACCCAACAAATATGCTGAAAAAAATGTACATGGATTAGACACACTCTGAGGAGACCTTTGAATGACATCGCGCGCCAAGCAAATCCTCAAGTGGAACTCAAATGTGAAAGAACGACTTCGGCATGACTTGTAGGAGACTCTGTGTGGAAGAGATGAGAGACTATTAGCAATCGTGGTACTAGCTAAAGACCATCTCAGAAAACAGGATGAAACGGAGATGTGCTGTTGAAGCATTATTTTCAACTGAGACCCCAAGAGAATAATAATAAAGTAATAATTAATTTCCAATATTACTAATTAGTGTATCATCAGCTGTAGACTTTATAAATGAGTTGAAGTCAAGTCAGTAACAGCTTTAAAACTAAAGTGAAGTGCGTACAAATTAAGGAAAAATAAATTAGATTTTCACTTCAACCACGAGAGAAATATGATACAGTGATGACGCGGTAAACAGGCTTTTAAAGGAGAATTTGTGACTACACAATGGCGATGTATTTCCTAATTTATGAATAAACGTAAATTCTTTTGCTGATTGAAGCTTGGGTGGAATGTAATAAATCTTAGCTCTTGTGTAAATACACTGCATTGTTCCAATATTTAGTGATCAATTCAAAAGACCCGTACTTCTGGTGACTAATGAAAACGAAACTTTGCTGAACTACGTCATGCAATCAAGTTTTATTCTCAAAAACAACATTTCTTCCAAGTATTATCAATTAACACGATAATTAATATCTCTGAATTAAATATTTTTTTAAAGGTGTTTTGAAAGGAATTTACTAACTTAGTCAAGTAATATATTATTTTTGTAAAGGCGATTTTATTTATCAGTTTTTAATAGATAAGCAGTTACCTTATATAAACAGTTTTACAAAGTATATACACATCAGTAATCCGAAAACAGTTTCATTCTGTTAGAATTTCCTTAGAATGCGATAAGGATTTTACTGATAATTGTCATTTTCTTTTGCATACAAAAATATAAAGGATTCTAACCAAATATTAAATTAATTTGAACACGAACTAACACGCTAACCTTTGAAATTCAGGAATCAGAATTTTATAATCAAATTTATTTAATGAATAATAAAGGTATCTGTTCTTTTTTTACTAGGTGGAAAAAAAAACAGTATAAGGATTTTAAAATACCACAAGTACCAGTGGTTCTCTAACTGATGTCAGCTCATGATGAAATCCTCCATACAATTAAACAAAATCCCTACCAAACCAATACTTGAAAAAACAAACTTTCAAGTCTTGGCTTGCAAGGATTTCATCAGTTATAGGTTTGATCACGAGCTGACATCAGTTTCCAGAATAACTGGAAAACCAAGCAGTAGTGAATAGCTGCTTCAGCCTAGTTTCGGACACTTCAGCAGGATGCACCAACCATGGTTCGAATCCAAGACCTTCAAGTCTCAAGGAGCGCTCGTAGACTATTCAGCCACTGTTGAAGGGTCTCTAACTAGTAGGTAGCAGATGCTGATTACTTTGTGGGTTTCCAATGGCTCTCTAAATGATGTCAGCTCCTAATCTAACCTGTGAGTAAAAATAGACTTTAGATTTGATTAGAAAAATGTATATTCTCCGAGCATATTGAGTGACAAGTGTTGATTACATGTTCGATTATAGCACTCTTTATTGATCCACTGTTGTTGTTTTTTTATTATAGCTTGAAACCACACAGTATTTTTGGTACAAGTATGGAATTTTCAGCATATGATATCGGTAGCCCAAATTTTGCAGGCCGACCATGGATATCAGGTGTGCACCGGCAGGGGATCGAACCCCGGACAATATGCATGGTCGGCGAGAGTCCTAACCGCTGTGCTACCGACGCAGTTTCGTAGCCAAGAGGGATAATGTTCTTTGACTCTTTTGGATAAAACACTCATCGAACAACCCATATATCTCGCTCGCTCCACATGAGCAAGTAAATTGGTAGATACACATAGAAGTGGTCATATGCGATAGTTTATCTTTGGAGTTGTTGAAGAACAATGGGCGGCTTGAGAATACCAATCGTAATGTAGCAGCAGAGAATGTTCTTTTCAGGGCGTTAGATATTCTCCTATTTAGGATGTCGGCGAGAAGATCGCCTCTGAACGCCACATTCATGTATAGTATCTTCTTCGGCACACAGATGGGTTGTTCTTTGTTGATTTCCAACCTTATATGTTAATCTATAAAGCGTTCTGGGAAGACACTCTTGAATGAATGGCTATCCATCACGCTTCATAGATATAAGGCATGTAGATATAAGAAATATAATTTTGTTAACTGTTAGAATTACATTTTCATTAAGATTCATGATCAATGATCATAAATTAATTCTAATTTGCTAGAAGATTTTCTTTGGAAGCTGACAGCCTTCAAAAGGATAGACGATCCTTTCAGGTAAATATATTTGTAGGAGTAATAATTGAATACTATAACTTATAGAACGGCTATTCTTTAACAGATAATCACTGAGTAGTGAAGTTTGAATTACTATTCATGAAACACTGTCTTACCTATGAGTATCAGAAGATTACTTTAAATCCTCCTCATTAAACTCAGTAAGAGTTTCTATAGCACAGATGATCTCATAAATTTGCATATTTTTACACTTTTAATCCAGTTTATGATAAGAGTTTAAAAATAAAGGGTTAAGTAAACTTTCGCATACTCCTACTTCCTTTAATACTTCTATTAAATTATTTAATTTCTGTCTGACCTATTATTATTATGCTAATTTTCTTTAACTAGTTTAAAGATTATATGTTATATGGTTATAATGTAATGCTTTCAGATGAAGATAATAACAATGATAATTAAGGAAAGAAGCAATTGGTTTATCTCATCAAAATATATAATTCAGATGAAAAAACAACTAAGGGATTGGTGT